AAATACTGCAAAAACGCCCGCCTGGTGCGCGTCGCCACTTATTTTTGTACTTTTCTGGTGGAGACTGTGGCGCACATATCTTACAGGAAACATCAAATTTCTTCTAGTTTACGTTGTCTATTTGCATCCCGATCCTTCGAAAATCCTAACACTCTGCACTGGCTTCATTTTCGAAGCATCCACTTTTCTTAAGTTCGCTTTTGTAGATAATGCTGCTATTAATTCAGTATTTGGCATCTTTTTCATTTTGTAAAATAACTGGTAATGTAACTGCAGCGGCTCGGTTTACCACTGAGTTACAGTGAGTAACTGTCGCAGCTCCTCTTCGTGCGCGTTTGACAGAGGTAAAACGTGAAAACTTCTTGAAACAATTAAAAAAAAAGAAAAAAAACTAGTTTTTGCACGTTACAAATTTTATGGATTGCGTGGTCAAATGATAGTTTTCGTTTAAAGCAAATGACAAATGAAGCAATTTTCGAGAATTCAATCTCAATACCACAAAATCAAGTCTTTTAATCAAAATGTGAATTTGCGTCAAACAGATGCGAAATTTGGCCGAGAAAAGACTGAAATTAACTGGGGAATGCTGAATTGACTGAAAAGCAAGAAAAAGAAGATGGTATTGAATAAAAAAAAAGCTATATCCAGACAAATAATAAAAAAAAAACATGAAGCGGTGCGAGACTGCGTTGCAGCCACTCTTCGTCAATTTTTCGCCTGAAACTGGTGGTCAGAATGCGCTTTAAGCTACTAAGACGAGCAGCATTCCTGACTATACTGTAACTGAGCGACCGAAATTTGCCATCTGCACACCTTGCCTGAGTTAAAAATTCCGAGAAATTTTATGATAAAATTAGTTTTCAGCCTCATCTGCTGTAATGCACGCCCAATCACCGACTTCATTGTTGCGTGTTCAGTTATTATTGCCGCTCTTCTTACAGCTGGACAGTGGATCGCCAGCCGAGCAACTTGCATCAGAGTGACCTTTCTGTTTCTTTAGAAATTTTTTTACTTTGCTTATTTTTGGCTTAAAAATGCCAGTGGGTTTTTTAGCTCGCGTAAAACTTGAAAATTTCAGCCATTCAGAACTCTTTGCAATAATTTAGTAAACGAAATCAAATTCTTCGCCTGTCTCTTCAAATTTCTTCCAAAAAATAATGATCCAAGTTCCGAATTGTTCAATATTAAAAACTGTAATAAATGACTGAATTTTATAGCACCGAAAAATGGGCAAATCTTCTCGGTGAGCATCTGCAGCAAGTTTTCAGTGATGCGACCAAAGAAACAGAAATCATTGCTGTAAGCAACCCAATGAATTTTTGTCTTGCAGGACTTCGGCCTTTCGCAAGAACGTATTGGAGAAGTGCACATTGTGGCATGCTGATTTGTTGGCATGCCTTTTTGACGCATCTGCTAGATAAATCTTGTATCTTTTTCCTACCCAGGGAAAGCCACCTGCACGGACTTTTACCGCGATAATTAAGCTGCACCACAAGACTTGCAAAAATGCTGAATTTCGAGCGCGAATTCCTCACATCTGCGTGGTCAGAAGCACTAAGTCAAATTTCCCATGCACATGCATATGCGCAGTTTCACCTCTACGTCTAACGCTCATGTTGTCAAGAGTTTATTATCAATGTAAAGCACGTGCCATGTCCTTTCCTGTGACTGGTTTTCATGAAAATCTGACATGATTCTAAGCCAATTGCAAAAGCCACAGAATTAAACTCCAGGTTTTTCTGGTTTCTGGTTGTGAAATATAAATCAGCGGATTAACTTATAAGCAACGTAAATGCACCACGAACTTGTTCATGCATCACGAATCCGTGTAAATGCAATGCACCATGATAGAGTGCGTTCGGAATAAGTTATAGCGAAAATGCGTGGCGGCGTCGAACTCTGGTGCGCTATGATTTTAGCAGATAAGTTAGTCAGTGGTGCTGCTTGTGCCAAAACCGTTACATTTTGGAACACACTTCAGATGTACAAGAATTACGGCGAGGTGGAAATATTCGATCCTCGGGTAGAGCTCAAAAAAGCTAAGAATTCGGTTGAAACATATTTAAAACGACGCGCTAAGGCTGCCTGGGCAAGTTCATTTCTTTCTGAATTAAGCATTTCACTCACACTCTTGGTATCATTGGTAGATTTTCCAGGTAGCCACAGTGAGCGTGTTTTGCGTTACACATAACACCAGTGAACCTAGGCTTGTCTATAATTGCAGGATGCCAAACTATCTTTGGAGTCACGCCACATGGCTAATTTGACGGAGCACGACGTCAACGATCCAATGAGTGCTCATTTTATACGTTTTATGGCAGCAAAGCAAGAAAATGATGGTGCTCGAGTGCATGCGCATGATCATACTGGAAATGTGATCGAGGTTGGTGTGCTCCAGAACCAAAAATTTCGCGGTGCTGCCAGGAAGTGTTTTCACAAAACGTCGTTTTAACTCCACGCTGCTTTTTGCCATGCCTGTTGCATTTGCTCTAAAATTACTTTTATTTTTAGGCTCGTCTGATATTTTGACTCATCTGAGCATTCAAAAGTCAGGACTCCTTCCGCGTTCAACCTTTATTTGAGACGAGGCACTTGGAATTAATATGAGAGTAGCGGAGGTTAGCCAGAAGGAATGACTGACAGTCTTGTCACAGCTACATACGCTCCTTCTTTCGAAGGTTGTTTAGAAGCAAGCCAGCGCATCCAGTATTTTTGCCATGATTTAGTGATTTGCTCTGCACATAAAATTTGGAAAAATTAATTTTAAATTTGTTTTGTTCTGTTCTTTTTTTATTGTAAGTAGTCGATTCTTTCCTGCTCTGTATGGACAGGTGAGCAAAAGTGGTTGCAGGTGAACAGCTCACGACAGTTTAATCTGACGCCGAATGCAAATTTTTATGGAATTCGGACAAGTTCGCTCTCCTCCGCTGTGCATATTCCCACACCCGTCTATGACAGGAGTAAGAACGATTTCTCGTAATACTTTCATTATGAAAAATACTTGCATGCCTCATTTGACTTATATTCTAAGCAAAAACACACTTTCTTCTTACCGATGGGCAGACAAAACAGGTATCATGGGGTTTAGCTTAAACCTTGGAAACTACAAACATTTGCATTTACAAAAATGAACAAGTTAAAATACAGTAAGGAGAATTTTTTTCCAGATCCGGAGGTGCTAGTTAAAATCGATTGGTCTGATATTGACCACTTGTATCGGGCAAACCGTGATGAATCGCGTGATCTAGCTTTTCAGATGTTTTGCTCCGAGTCTGGATTTATGCGTTATTATCCGGGTGAGTTTTCCTCCATTTAGAATGCACTGAATTAAAAATGTGTGATGTGTTTTTATGCGTTTTTTGCAGCTATGCAATGCAGAAAACGCACATTGATGAGAGGTTGTCTGTGTGTGAGTGTCTGTGCGTCTGTGTGTGTGTCTGTGTGTTTGTCTGTACCGATTTTTCATCTCGAGACCGGCAAAAGCTACAGGGTTGAAACTTTGAGGACATAATCTATGTGCACGTTCGGGCCCCCATCCCAAAATTGGCGCCAAAACCCGCGTGGTACTTGCGTACGGGCCCGCCAAAGTTTTTTTTGGGGTCAGTTCATAACTCGAGGATCTGAGAAGCTAAAAGGCTGAAGTCTTAGGGTAATGCTCCCTGCCCAAGCGGGTATTAGTGGGCTCAAATCCAGCCCCTGGGTAAGCGTGGTCCTCCTAAATTTCTTTCATGTAAATTGATAACTCAAGTACCTGAGAGACTAAAGGAATGCAATTTTAAGAGGATATACCCCGTC